GAGGAAAACACTCCAAAATTAAGTTAATTCAATAAAATCAAAACACTCTCATTCTTATTTTAAGAAAATATTGTTTTTATCTTTTTTAATATGAGTTTATTGAAATAATATAATTTTATTGTGTTTTTCTTCCTAATTTTTAAAGATTCAATTAACAATTAGACTTCCTTTTTTTTAATTTATTTTTCAATTGATCATTGCATGATTTATTATTATTATATTTTTTATTATAACGAATACATTAATTTTTAATTTTTGTTAACAATATATCTATAAAAAAGACCACAAGTAAATCTTTTTATAAAAAAAAATGATTTCAAAAAAATAAATTAGTATTATAAAAGATACTCTTAAAATCTTAAATCTTCAACATTAATTTTTACCCCTAACTAAATTTCCTGAATTCGTCCTTGAATACAAGCATAAAACTTGCCTTCTAATTAGGGGAATGATAGCGTTATACGCACTATATGTGTATGGTGAAGAGAAGTGTTAATTGGGCATAAAGCCACAAAACCCGCAAGCAATTAAATCAAGTCATCCTCCATGATTTCTATGAAGCTACGAATCACCTGAAAGTTCACTGCGCACTATATAAAACTATAATAATTCACAGATTTCATCTTCGTGAAATCATCATTAGAATTGCACTAGGACTAAAATTGTGTGGTTCTGGCTGGCACTAACACTGGGTTATTAATTTTTTATTCTGTCTTATGGCTGCCTCTGTCTACTGCAAATAAATAAATAAATAAATAAAGTTTAAATTGCAACAAATAGTAAACACACTAGTCATTAGATTAAAAAAATATTGGATTTAGCTAATATGAAACTAATAGTTAATGGTTTTGTTTAATTTAATAGTTGATAATTATTATTAATAATAATTCAAACATTCTTAGTTATTAAATTAGATAAAATTATTAACCGTCACTTTCAACTAGTTATACTAAGTAATCTCTAAGAGGTGTTATTGTTTTTTTTTAACTAATGATTTAGTGATTCAAGTAGAAGAAGTTTGGTTTCCATTAAATAAAAGTTCAATTCAAGTAAAAGAAGTTTAAGTCTCTTGAATGGCGAAAAAAGTTTAAATTTCTTAAATGAAGAAAGCAGTACTGAAAGTGAAAGTGAGAGTGCTTCCTCTGTGGAGTTGACGTGGTTCGATACTAAATTAAAGAGAGGTTTTTTTTTTTTTTAAGTAGAAAACTCACTCATATTCATTGAATAACATCTATTTGAACATAAGTGGGCATAAATGGTCCTGTATCAGAACCTTTCCCATGGAATCACGAAGCATTTCAAAGTTGCAGTACCTTGTGCTAGTCTAGTGTTGTTTCTATTAGCATTTCTGATGGAACAAGTAGAGAAAAATTCTTTTAGGTCAAAAATATCAGCAACCACCACACCAAAGTGAAGATGGTCGGCTCTTTTGTGTGTAACTAGACGCACTGCGCCCCTCGAATCTGATTCAATAATGATATTCTCACTACGCATTCCCTTACCTAATAAAAGTCCGAACTGAATGGCCAAAAGCTCGG